CACATTCTCATATTCTGTGAGTTTACGTAACCACTTAAATGAAACCAGGCTTCATCAGAAAAAAAGGTGATATTATGAAGTTCACCGTAGTTGTTTAAAAACCATTCACAAAATACAGCCCGTCGCGGAAAATCAACTTCATGAAGTTCTTGCTGACAAGTTAAACGATAGGAGAACAAACGCAAATCTTTTTTTAACACTGTGTGGCAGGTACCGACTGATACTCCCACCATTTGTGATAAAACACGTACAGAAGTTCTTGGCGCATTTTCCATTATTTGTTGGACATTTTCTTTTAATTCTTCAGTCCGCTTTTTAGGTCGGCCGCTTCCTTCTTTTCTTGTTACACTGCCCGTTTCACGAAAAACATTAACACAACGCTGAACTGCACTTTGAAAAATTTTGTACTCAACAACGCCGGGAAATTGATTTTGAAATTCTATGAAACATTCCTCAATAGAATACTTCCATATTCCATCAATCTTGCGTCCATTTCTAAAGTAGGACTCTATGATAAACACTTTTTGTTCTTGAGAAAACACCATTTTAAACGCTTTTTAAAACGAAAATATTCAAATTGATAGCGGCGATATAGCGCTTTGACAGATGACGTTTAAGTTCATTTGCTATACGCTACGCCCTACGTCCAAATTTTCAGAACTTGACCACGTTTTTATTTGAACGCTCGTTAGAATCAGTACTTTCCGACATATCGATAGTGGTGATTCCTGGTGGGACATCCTGTATAAGATAATGAATGCTACTAAATTTAAGAGTTCAGTTGAAAAATTGTTACTACCAAGTATTAACTTGTGCTTTTTCTTGTATTTTTTTGTCATCTTGCTTTGTAATTGGGTTTATACCTGCAAGGCAAGGACTTCTTAAATAAAATAAGTAAATAAATTAAAGATTTTACCAATGACAATCTGCATTGTTTATTTGTCTTGATTTATGACCTGTTCTATATAGGTCCTACTTGCTATTAATATGCTGTTTTAGAGAGCTGCAAAGGTTTTTACATCCGAGTGTCTCAAGAGTCAAATCATATTGCGTAACAGAGCATAAGCATAACAGAGGTGAACCACCACCTTGAAGTTCACAAAAAAAAACACAAACGGGAAAAACAAACTGTCGATGATTTTATTATAACAAGACCGTAATTTGGAATATTATTTATGAAATGTATATGTCGCAGACCAATTGCAAATTCAGTCTTTTTATAAAATGCCTAAACGTTTTATAAATGACTAGGTAAAAATTGTAAAATGTGTGAACACAATACTTTTACAATTTGACTGAAAATTTTAAGCGTTTTTTAAAACGACGAATAGCTTTAAGGCACGCATTGTTAACGCATCTTAATTTTCATTTTCTTTAGAATATGCCTAACTTTTTGCAGTCGTTTTGTAAACGACTGAAAATCAATTAGACATTTCATGAAATATGAGTTTACAATATATACAGGCTGTCTACTAGAGGGCCTCTCCTATGTATCTCGCTTAATACACGATGCATGTCAAAAATCTTTATATGTTTTNAAAGTAATCTCAGCGACATGTCCCTTTTTCTTGTTACACTTTGATGATTACTTAAATACGCTATTCAATATACGGTAACAAGGCTTTTAAAATGAAATTACGAGTAAGTAAGAAACACATTACATGAGTAAGTAAAAGATACATGATAAAAATAGTAGTTTATTTCATTTAGTAAATAGGACTTCCAAAAAATAGAAATAAAAAAAGTAAGTAGGAACAAAGACTATTTAATAAAACACGGAAAACAAATAACAATAAAACACAAAGAAAATAATAGGTGTCTAGGTGTTACAATGGCAAATTAATTTACACAATATCACCAGTAAACAGTTTGTTGTCAAACAATTCACTATTTAATTATCTGTCACTTTGAGTAGGCCTACTATAATTAATTTATATCAAGATGTTCAAAAAGAGAATAATATTTTAGATCCAATTCAACAAAATGCAAGGTCTAACATNAGAGGGCCTCTCCTATGTATCTCGCTTAATACACGATGAATGTCAAAAATCTTTATATGTTTTTGTTGCATTTTTGAGGCCTTGGTGCTCGTAAAAACAAATTTGAGATCCATGGCCAACTTTATGAAAAATCATAAAAAAACCGGAAAAGTACCGAAAGTTTAGGGCCATCCAACGTTTTTATTTTAAGAGATAGAAAAAACTTATTTTAATAAAATTTTATGGCAAAATTGATATCTTTCACCTAGTGTAAACAAATTTTTGAAGTATCGTATGTAATTTGCTGCGTCCTCTTCGCGGGAAAAAAATTGTTATCGAAGCAAGCTGTGGATACAAAAAATTGCTTCATTTTTCCTCTTTCATGCGATGTACTACATGTTGCCTTTATCTATTATATTTTGTTTATAATTTTAGTATCAAAAATGTAGATGAATGTATAGAAATTGTTTTAAACAGGTCAACTTCAAAAAGTTTTGTGAATATAAGTACTTTTTTGAAGCTAAAAATCTGCAATATCTAGCACTCATCAGTTTGCCATCATAGAAGTAAAGTCCTACGAATTTGGTATCAAGAATTCTAACCCAAACGTTTACTGAAAACCTTTGTTGAAATCCAGTTTACCCGTGCCAATGTATATTACCATTAATCTATTTGAAGTAAATGTTCCTATTAAATAATCCATTGTTACAAAAATTTGGCACATCTGACCAGAAAATTTTTCTGCATATAAAAGGATTTACTCTCTTTCTTTCTTGTCACCACCTACAGAACCCAAATCCCCTCGGTTTATCTTCCTCCCTCAAGCTCAAGAGGTGCACTTTTTTCACCTTACAACATTTGAAACGATTTTTTCGTAATATCCTTCTTGCACTATCCTGCTCTAAATTGTAGTTCACTTCAATCTCTCATTATTCCTATTTACATAATTTAAAACTATGTTAAGAGTTGATTTTATTAGCGAAGGTTTTCTACATTCCGCAAGTGCTTGAATAGAATTGAAATTGCATTGATAGTACAATACAAACATATTACACTTCTCAATGAAAATATCATTATTATTCAAAATTTTAGTTTTTCAAATCATAGCTAACTGTAACAATTTCTAAACCAACAATTATGTATAAACTATAACAATAAACATTAAAACAATTTGTTAAATAACGACATTACTGGGATAACATCTGCTTTCATAGCGTGCTACATTTAGCGGAAGCTACTTTCTCTGTGCAAGAACAATGTTGAAGGCTCAGTTTTCTCTAAAGTAAAAAACCAATATTATAATAATGTGTGTATTTTTTTTAAACGAAGTGCATTCATTATATTTATTAAATTTTTTATAGTTGACACGTGTCTACAACAACTTCTACGTTAGCACGAAAATGTTTACATTTTTTATACCAAAATTATAAAAAATGTAATAAATTTAAAAGATACAGGCAACATGTAGTATATCGCATGAAAGAGGAAATAACAAGAAATTTTTTGTAGCCACAGCCTGCTTCGATGACGATTTTTTTTTGCTCGCCTAGAGGGCGCAGCAAATTACATACGATATTTTAAAAATATGTTTGCACTAGGTGGAAGATATCAATTTTGCCATGAAATTTTATTAAAATAAGTTTTCTTTATCTCTTAAAATAAAAAAGTTAGACGGCCCTAAATTTTCGGTACTTTTCTGTTTTTTTATGATTTCTCATAAAGTTGGCCATGGATGTCAAATATATTTTTACGAGCATAAAGGCCTCAAAAAATGCAACAAAGAACATATTAAGATTTTTGACGTGCGTCGTATATTAAGCGAGATTCATAGGAGTGGCCCTCTTATAGTAGACAGTCTGTATATATTATGGCTAGTTTGTACAATATTGGGTAGAAACACGAAGTATTTTCTAATTCTACATAATATGGCATGAAAAAATAAATGCTAATTCTTACATTTGAGTCTTTTAATAATAAAAGTGTTAAGTTAGTTCTAAATCTACAAAGTTTAAAATTTGTACTATGTTGCTTATTTGAACAAGCTTCATTCTGGGTCTTCTAATATATTGAAACTTAAGTTTTTAAAGAGAAACTAAAAAAATACTGTTAATTTAGCGTTTGTTTACATAATGTCATACCACGCTACAAACTCGTAACATGGAGTAGAAAACTAACCTAGAAACTAGGAAATTAATAATCCGCGCCTGCCTTAAAGTAGCCTGCGACATATAGATACAGACAATTGAAATATTATTAAATTTATATCAATCTTAAGTTAATGTGATTCATTTTAGCGTCAGTGAAGTTATTGATGAATAAATACACTTAAAAATAGTTATTTCCATGATTTACCGAATGTAAACAAATAAATGTTAAAAATACATATTCTATATTTCCACTATTGTTTTTCTACGTTTGAATACAAATTCTTTTAGATAATTTAGAAAATATTACTGCAATAATCATATTGCTTAATACTAAACCGCAATTAATTGGGCTGTATAATCTGTAATTCTCGACTACAATTTTAATATTCGGTGGACCAAAAATTAATTTTATTTTCTTAAATATCCTGAAAAAATTACAATCTGGGAACAGTGTACCATTTCGCACTGTGACGTGATCGCAAACTTACCGTAAATAGACTATATCATGTAATTCTACTAAAAGAAAACATCTTTTATTCAGCATGCAAATTTGTATACACATAGTAAACCGAAATAAAATATTAACACATTGTTATTTTACTTTAAAGGTAAAATTGTACTTTCGTAAAAGATTTATAAAGAGAAATAAATTCTTGGCGAAGGTATTAAATTTTATACCCCTGAAGTTTTATACAATACTTGCTGTATCTGCTGCAAGTTTATGATTTTACAAGAGCAATATACATCAAAGAGGCGATCATTTTATGGAAATCCTGACGAAGCCGCATTTTTATTATTCCCTAAATCTTATTATACCTAATAGTCTACCCCGCAGTAAATTCGGGGATAATTCTCCTTAACGAAATTTACTTACGTAATTTGTAAGGCCCGTAAGCGTAATTCCATTAGCTTGTAACAAGAGATCCCCTACATTTAAAAGTCCACACGCTGACGCAGGCTGATGTGGAAACAGTCTTTTGATTCGGATAAGGCCGGGCCATGATCCAGTGCTATCTATCCCGCCAGTGACGCTCAGCCCCAATCCTCTTGTGCCTTTTGTTAGCTTCACTATGAACGTGCTCTCTGAAATGGTAACGACGCTTTATCAATGTGCTGCTCACAGTTAATTGCACTGCGAATTACATAACAAATTACGGGAGGCACCAAGTCGGCGAAAATTAAACTAAATAATTGTAATACCTTCTTAACGAAAATCAATTGTAACACTGAATTAAAGTAGGTGTAATGGGATAAATTAGAGAACTTTTCAGTATGAAAATATTTTATTTTCTTTGCTACTAGTTTCGGCTGTTATTCCATCAGGGAAAAATTAACCAATATATAAAAAAGCCAACATCAACATATAATAAAGAAACATAAATACAAATATTTTCTAATTATTTTTAAAAAAACAAAGCTAAAAAACTATACAGGGTGATCCAGTGATAGTGCCATTAATTTTAAGGGAAAAATAGGGATAAATGAGAAGAATACGAATATGAAAAAATGTAAATGCATATTCACCCTGAAAAAAATATATTTGTGAGAGTGAATCTTGACCTACCATAATATTCGGTCATTAACCTAGCTTTTTAATCAGTCGTGAACGAAAACGAATAAACAGAGCTTTTTACCTAGACAGATGAATGAATAAGATTTTTTTTTAATTTTAAATATATAATTTTAAATTATTAACAAAAGATAATAATTGATTTCGAATGTTAGATTAGCATTTTTTATTTTAGTATTTAGTATTTTTTATATTTTAACGTTTTCACCGTTTTATAATTGAATATAAGTTTCCAATTATTAATTATTCAGTTTGCAGTACATATACCTTATTGTACGACTTGTTGCTTTTCGAAAAGTAGCTACATTTAAAATGGCAGTTCGGCAAAAAAACTCACTCATCCGTCCACAGCACTTTGTTAATAAAATTGGGATCAACTCTGCACTTTGATTTTGAAATCAATTGCAAAATTCAAGACGACTGGAAAATTCAACTGTTTCGCTTCAACGTTCCAACGATCTGTGGTGTGCCGGCGCATTCCCAGTCGGCAAAGTAGGGCGCCGAATTAACGGGGTAGTTAAGTTATTTTTTATAAGGTCGAGTACAATTTTTTTTCGATTTTCTATATTTATTAGGCCTTCCGAATACGTGGGTAAAATTATTGATATTATGACTGAATATCTCTAATCATCCTTTTTCTCAAAAGATTTCGTCGTTGTATTCGTTGACTTTTTTCCTTGCCATTATCTTTTGTTAATTTGAAACTTGAAATTTATATATTTGGGGCTTTGGAAAATGGTTTTAATGATGAATTAGTTAATAGTTGTTTTGTACAACAATTTTTGTAAATTTATTTAATCAAGCTGCTTATAGAACAGTACCTATAGACAGCAGGTTAATTTATTTGACCTTGCTATTTTAACTGAAAACAGCACCACTTCCGAATGGAAGTGATCTTCACACGATTGTTTCAGTTAACATTTGTATGATAAACCAGTGACTATCAAAATGTTGTAATAGTAGGTAAGGTACTCAAAATGTAAATCCAATTTGGTAATTTGATTATCAAACAAAAAAATAAGTTGTAATTTTTCGAAACATTAAATGTTGCAATCCACGCTTATGATTTAGAATTGTTACTATTGGTCATTATTTGCAATCGTTAGTAATATTAAGACCACAGATCAACGAGATTGGCTTAGCGCGAAAGTACTGCTGTGCTACTGATCCATTTACAGGGTCAGAAAGTCCCCATGGTTCATCGGCCGTTACGTGAGAGCGATAAAAAAAACCATAGAAATCCGTGCAATAGAGAAAGATGGCTATAATGAAGGCGTCTAATAGTCACCGCCCATTTCGCCCTTCCATAAATAAGAAGTGGATCTTATTTGTGGAAGGGCGAAATGGGCGGTGACTATGAGACGCCTTCATTANGCGCGAAAGTACTGCTGTCCTACTGATCCATTTATATTGTGTTTATAATATTATTTTTAATTAGGATTTCTCTATGTTAAACTTCAATTTTCTGGTCCTATCTCATATAAGTGACATTACATAGAAAAATTCAAAAGTTACGATTATGTTACGTTTTTTGTAGTTATTAAGGGTTCAATTATTTGAACTGATTCTCTGGAATTATCTTTCGTGTTGCAATGATTTTAATTGCTGTTATGTTGGACAAAGTTGTAGGAAAATTAAAATTAGGATTGCTTTACATTTAACTAAGAATAGTTTTGAAAAATCTGTTTTTGTGGGCACTTAAAATTATACTATTAATAATGGCATTAATTGTAAACTTCTGTATACATACATCATACATCTGAACTGAAATATTTTGGAAAATTTGTAGTTTTAAATATTTAAATAATTGTGATATTTAGTTCAGTTGTTCCTTCTACTTCAAATTGATGCTTTAATTGAAATGTGTAACTTAAACTTGATAGGTATTTATTGTTTGTCTTTATTTTGTCACGATTACTTAAAGTTTTCTTAAGCAATTTAAATGTTTGAACCATGTTAATGATCATAATACGCATTCCCCAGACTACTAATATGAATCTTTTTTTTTAAATAGAGTAAATAATCGAGTTTTAATTCGTTCTTTAATCTGCATTAAACTCTTGTCTACGCCGCCACTGGACAGCTCCGAACTCAGTTGAATGTACGTGCTTATGTGTGTTGCCTGTTGTTACCTTTTTAAAGCAACTAACTGTATGGATCTAAAAGAATGACAGAGAGTGGAACTATAATGGAAAATAATTTGTAAAAACTGACAAGACATGTCATTTTAAAGCCACCATATTTTTTTTTGTTTTTCAATGTGCACGAGGCGAATAAAAAAATAAACATTTCTTGCATGAAATATTTAATAATATTGGTTCATACTATACCTCTGTATACCGGGTGTCCAAAAAGACTGAAATAATTTCCCAGGCAAATTATTTTTGAAGAATGTTAAGGTCATTCTTGTAGTAACCTTTGACGAGGAATTTAATAGTGACCTTGGATTTGACCTCGACGATGACCTTGAAGGTTATTTCAAGGTCACCTCCATTTTTTTAAACAGAAACCCCCTTTTGCGACGTCGGCAATCGAAGGAGCGGTAAATTTTAAGTCCAAAAACTATATGGTCATAATCATGGTTGACCTTGAAGGTCATTCAAAGGTTATTTAAATTTGAGGGCTGGATATCTCCGAAGGATGCAGTTGATGAAAATAGTACAAGGCCCACATTGGTTATTTTGTTTAGTTGAAATTAGTGGTGACCTCAAAATCGACCTTCTTGGTGTCTTTCAAGGTCATTTCAAGGCCAAATTTTTTTTCACGATAATGAAGCGCCCCAAACTTGAGAGGCAAGGGGACTCACGACTGCGTCCTTCGGAGATATCCAGCCCTCAAATTTAAATAACCTTTGAATTACCTTCAAGGTCAACCCTGATTTATGACCTTAGAGTTCTTGGACGTAAAATTTCCCGTTCTTTTGATTGCCGACGCACAGTGGGACGAAACGCCACTGTCGAATTCAAATTACTCTACACCCCACATAGTTCAACTGTTTCGGGTGAATTTTTTTTCAAAATGTTCGTCTTGAATGTTCCTATCGATCCCTAATTTAGGATTTTTGATTTCGGTCTTAATTTTTTTGAAAATTGACTCCAAAATTCGATTTTTATGAAAAAAATAACTGATTTTCGGCGCAAATGTGGTTCTACATGGCGCAAGTTGATGTTTTTCGAAATTTTTTTCAGCTGAAAATCTTCGTTTTGATAAATACTACAAAACTGCCTGCGTGAAAGTCGGGAAAAAATTTTTCATATTCGCACAAACGGTCATAGTGTTCCAAAAATTTTCGTGGAGAATCGATTTTTTAATTCGAAATTTCGCAACCTGGGGAAAAATTAGATGAACCAAAAGTTGTTTAGAATCACTCGAGGAATACTCAAAAAAATTTTCCAGAATTTTTGGACACATTTTGGAACATTTCAAAAAATGTCCAAATCCAAAAATTTTGAAATATATTCAAAAATTCTGAAAAGCTTGTTCCATATTTTTTTAACAATACTGAAAGCTTTTTGACCATTAAGGGTCTTTATCACTCCATTTACGCCCAATCGATACTGTTTGGACACTTCCTGTCCCTTGTGCCATAATCTGGCATCAGTTATGGGATTCAACTCCCCTGAATGGCCAAGGATGGGGTGAACAGGCTTGAATCCTCAAATATATCTTTTAATTATTTATTTATTCATTCAAAACAATTGACGGAATGAAAATTCCAATTTTATAATACAGTAGCTCGGTCTGGTCTCATCATTTCGTATTATTTTTAGTTTTACTTGTATGCTTAAAAAACCATTTTAGTTCGTCTGGCCAATGACTCTAGAGCGTCTCCACATTCCTGGACAAGGGTAGACCTAGTCCTCAGGGAGCTAACAGCTCTGAGCGCGGCCTGACTGTCGGAGCAGATAACAATCTTCTCCTCTGCACAATTCCTTACCCCCTCCTTGCTTGCTACCATCAAAATAGCAAAAACCTCGGCCTGGAAGACTGTAGCATACATGCCCAGTGAAAAGCTTTCCTGGATGCCACTGCCTTCCAGATAAATTCCTGCTCCTGAATACTCGTCTTCTACCCGAGATCCGTCAGTATAGCATACTAGGGATCGCGGGGAGAACATATCACCATCCTGCTTCCACTGCTCTTTCTCGAGGGGAAGTGGTGACAAACAGTTGAACTATGTGGGGTGTAGAGTAATTTGAATGCGACAGTGGCGTTTCGTCCCACTGTGCGACGTCGAAAAAGGGGATCTTCGGGGATATACAGCCCTCAAATTTAAATAACTTTTGAATGTCCTTCAAGATCAACCCTGATTTATGACCTTAGAGTCTTTGGACGTAAAATTTCCCGCTCTTTCGATTGCCGACGTCGGCAAAGAGGGTTTCCATTAAAAACCGGAGGGGACCTTGAAATAACCTTCAAGGTCATCGTCAAGGTCAAATCCAAGGTCACCTTTGAATTCCTCGTCAAAAGTTACTAGAAGAATGACCTTAATATTTTTCAAAAATAATTTACC